TTAACAGAGGAAAACACAGTTTATTTATACATGCATGGTATGCAGATGGGAATACTCAGTGAGGAGTAACTCCCTGAAAAACCAGAAATAAAGGCTCATATACTAAACTTAACAAAAAGTTAAGCTTTTAATTGGAAAAGTATGAAATGGTCTACTGGGCTTTATGGTGCTTATGGACTCCTAAATTTGCACTTTTGATGATAAGAATCAGTCTTGTTTTCAATCAGAAGGGTAGGCAAGGGCAACTATATTTTCAGGTGGGTCTGCTTAAGTTTGAATAATATTTTTTCTGTTGCTGCTGATTGTTCTCATGCTTTCAGTTTAAATTAATTTTATACCACTTTAGTGTGCTTTTAATGACTTCCATTGCCATATGGCCTTCTCTACAACATTGCATTTTGCTTCTATAAGACCAACAGGAAAATAACTGTTGCTGATTTTTCCTTTTTTAAGAGCTTGTCTGCTCATGTCAGGCCCACTCAGAATAATCTCTTTTTGATTAACTAAGAGACAACTGAAAAGATCCTTAATTACACATTTTTAAATCGCATTTTGATATAATGTGACATAATCACAAGAACAATATGAAATCAGAGACCTTGCACTCAAGGGGAGGGATTATATAGGTCTTATCACCAGAAGGATGTTTTAGGGGCAATCTTCCCAGCACACCAAATGGCAGGATGAAAAGTTAAGTCCTGGAAATCATAAAATATAAAAATAGTTACACACATTCTATACTGCTAAGGTAATAAAATTGATGCTGTGGCTCACGCCTGTAATCCCAGCCCTTTGGGAGGCCGAGGCAGATGAATCATGAGGTCAAGAGATCGAGACCATCCTGGTCAACATGGTGAAACCCTGTCTCTACTAAAAATACAAAAAATTAGCTGGACACGGTGGCGCGTGCCTGTAATCCCAGATACTCAGGAGGCTGAGGAAGGAGAATTGCCTGAACCCAGGAGGTGGAGGTTGTGGTGAGCCGAGATCACGCCATTGCACTCCAGCCTGGGTAACAAGAGTGAAACTCCATCTCAAAAAAAAAAGAAGAAATAAAAAAATAAAAATAAATAAAATTGATGCTATGTGCCAAGTGGTTAGGCCAGATGACATCTCAGATCATCCATAACAGTATGCAGGAAAAAGAAACTCCATTTGTGAATTCAAGAATATTTTCTAAACCAACTTTTAAATTTTTTCTCATACCCGATACAGTTTTCAAGCATACAAACATGGCCATAACTAAACATAGGTAATTTGTCTTCTTTGAAATTTCAACTTCTCCTTTTAGCCAGTGGGATCTATTGGCCACATGTCCCTTCATTAACTCCAAAGAGATGTTATGGCCTGTATTAGTTAACTAATGCTGTGTAACAATTACCCCTGAATTTAGTGGCTTAAAACAACACAGAGTTTCTGTGTACTTCTATGGATCAGAAATCTAATCATTACTCAACTGGGTTCCCTGATTCAGTCTCTCTCACAGAGCTGCAATCAAGATCTCACTCAGGCAGGATCTGTTTCCAAGCTTACCATTGGCTGTTAACAGGATTCAATTCCCTGAGAGCTATTAGTCTAAAGACCTCTGCTCCTAGCTGGTTGTTGGCTGAGGGCCACTCCCACCTCTGTGTCACATGGGCCTCTCCAACATGGCAGTTCACTCATCAAAGCAAGGAAAAAAGTAACAAGACAGAAGTAATAACCTTTTGTAACCTAATCTCAGAAGTGGGATCCCATCATATTTATTTTATGTAATTCATTAGAAGCAGGTCATAGGTTCAGCCTATAATATTGGGGTTCAGGGTGCCCTCAGCTCCCCTGAGAGGCTGTTTCTCCAGGTTCTTGGCCTGCCCTCTCAAGAATGAGAGAGGGGACCACGGCACAGTGCAACGTGAATGCTGGACTCAACAGTGTTTGTAGAAAGTGATTTATTTAGAGAAAAAGGAGAAGAAGAGAGAAAGAAACAGCTCTCACACTGAGTAAGAGAATCCAGAAAGAGAAAAGCAGCTTCCACACTGAGTGGAAGGCAATAGAGAGAGAGAGATGGAGTTTAGGAGGGGAAGACAGGCTTCCATGAGATAGTGTGGAAGGGGACCCCAGATGGGAAATTCAGGAGAGAGAAAGATAGCTTCCATGAAGGGAGTGTTTGTGGAAGGGGACCCAAACATGGAGTCTGAAGGGGTGTGGAAAACTGGGACTTTTAACCTGGAAGGAACCTTCACCTTCTCTAAGATCCCTGGCCATTGAAAGGAGTTCCTTAGAACTTCTGCTGGAGTGATTGACCCTTAGTTTCTTCCTGTGCCCATGATATTCAAATATAAACCGTTAAATCTCCCGGACAGAGAGAGATGGGGGAGGGCCATGGTGCTAGGAAGTTCTTACCCTTAAAACTACACTCCCCTGGTGGACCCAGAAAGAGAACACACTCTGCAAAGCCCACACTCACAGAGAGGGATGTGAATTCAGGAGGGCAAGGATTGTTAGGTGCCATCTTAGAAGTGTGCTTCCCCAGTGCCTGAATGAGGGAACCATTTATCACACTGAGGAGAAACAAATTAAAGTGTTTGTTTCCAAGAAATTAAATTAAAGCTGCTCTGATTACATTTACTTATTCAGAGCCAAAGCAACCAAGCTTGATGGGACTGGGTTCATAATGGGAGTGGTTAGCCCTTGTCTGAGGAGAGAGGGCAAATGGAACCCAAAGATGAGAAGCTAAATTCAACACCAGAGGAGTGACACTAAGTACCAGGTCCAAAATATGAGTTTGAGATGTTGGATGAGAGAAGAATAAAAGGTCAGAAACCCAGAATTACCAAGTCAGTATAGAAGCAAAATATCGGAAAAGTTCAAGAACAGAAAGTTCAATAGCAGAAAAGTTCAAGAACAAAGGGGACTCCTGGCTTTAAAGACATAGGGTTAGGCTTTTCCTCTTGATTATTGATTGAATGGTTAGGAAATACTGCTGTATTTTTGCTTTACATTCAAACAAATAGAAAACTTACTGATTCAGTGAAAACGTTGAAATTCGGAAGTACTAGTCTAAATAAAATTAAAAGTCATCAAAATATTCATTTTTAGCAAACATGAGATTATACATTTTCTTGCAAAATGCATAGATACTGTTTTGTATCAGTTGATTTTATTTTCTAATAACATTTACAGTATGAAGCAGCATTTTACACCAGATGTGTGGTTACACCTCAGAATCATCTACCTCAAAACACCTACCGGTGAAGTCACCATTGGCTGCTGCTTCTGGTTTATTTTTAACATTCCCTTATTTTGACTGTAAGAAGCTACTTTCCATGAAATTCAACAAATAATATAATTTAGAAAGTACAGTAGCCTTCCACAGTATTTTCAAAAGTGGTGATTTCCTTGCTTTTAAAATTTTCTTTTTACTTGCCACATAACTATGTAATAGAAAGCTGAAACTAAAGCCTTATTGAAAACAAAGAACCACTCATTTATAGTAAAAGAAATCTAGTTATACTTAATTTTCTTTTTGCCTGCCTCCAAGTATAATTTCTACTAGAATACAGAAGTAACCAATTATTTTCATCCACATTTCCCTTCATGTGCCTGGAAACTAACTATTTTAACTCTTACTTTGAGAGTTTAAATTTATTTTTAATTCATATTTAAATAAATTTATTACCTCCTCTAATCTTAGATCATTTAATTATAATTATTCTTAAGTTTGTTTTATCTCTATCTTTTAGCTAGAAATACAGGTTAAAGTACCTGTGGGAGAATATTTACTTCTCTGTATATATTGACCTATAGCACCATTTGTTTAGCTTTCATTTAAATTAGCAGACAACTGAATAGCAACCAATAAATCAGTATGCGGCAATTTAAATGCCTATTAAAATTTGCCAATCAGAACCAAACTCCCAGCTTTGCTTATTCAGAAAGGGCTGACATTTTCTTGCCATACCATCTACTAAAGATAAGGCAAATAGTTTCAGATTAAATTAAATGTGGCATTTCTGTATATTTGGGTTATCTTTTATTGCTTTTGAAAAAGCAAATCATTCTGAGAACTTATCCAAATTTTAAAGGTTATGATTTTCAGGGTATCAAAATGTTTTGCAAAGTATTTTCTTTAACAACCTACCATGGTATGTGAAATGTGGGCACTTGTGATTGTTACGGGCTATTAAAGCTGGAGAGAGAGAGAGAAAGAATAAGACATAGGTATGTATTGCATCACTGAAGCAAGAATGCTTCCGATAGCTTATCAGACCAAGGCCCTGAAGTGTTGTACAGATAAACTTAAGGTTCTTGTGTGTGTTTGCGTGTATTTATATGTATGTGAGTTTTGGGTTAGGGAGTGAAAGAACTAGGAAATTATGTGTCTCAAGGAGGGGAGATCAGGAATGCAGAAACAAAGTGCACTCAGGGGAAGCCTGAGTAACAGATGGGGAAGATGGTACTAGGACAGGGTCATGACACAGGGAAGGGTGTCAGAATTTAAACCATATCTACCCTCTAATGTGTGAAGCATCCAGGATATGTTAATTTAATTTTAGCTCTTCAGCGGGTTATGCCAAAAATTAAAGGAGGATTTAAGAAATAAAATGCGTGCCGTGCACGGTGGCTCAAGCCTGTAATCCCAGCACTTCGGGCAGCCGAGGCAGGTGGATCACAAGGTCAAGAGATCGAGACCATCCTGGTCAACATGGTGAAACCCCGTCTCTACTAAAAATACAAAAAATTAGCTGGGCATGGTGGCGCGTGCCTGTAATCCCAGCTACTCAGGAGGCTGAGGCAGGAGAATTGCCTGAACCCAGGAGGCGGAGGTTGCCATGAGCCGAAATCGCGCCATTGCACTCCAGCCTGGGTAACAAGCGCGAAACTCCGTCTCAAAAAAAAAAAAATTCTTAGTATTTCCTGTGGCTCATTTGAGGGAGAGGTATGGATATTGCAAGAGGGAAAGAATTTGGAATGGGCAAAGGCTTGGAAATTAACCACATTATGCCTTTTTATTCTCCTAGGGTCTCATGATTCCTTCAGCTTCTACATTGATGAAGCCTCTCCAGTAGGTCCTGAACAGCCAGAAACTGTCCAGAATTTTGTCTCTGTGTTTGGAACGGTGGCCAAAAAGCTCATGCGGAAATGGTTAGCCACTCAGACAATGAATTTTACTGGTCAGCTAGGAGCTGGGATTCGTTATTTTGATCTTCGAATTTCCACCAAGCCCAGAGACCCCGACAATGAACTCTATTTTGCTCATGGTTTGTTCAGTGCCAAAGTCAATGAAGGCCTTGAGGAGATCAATGCATTCCTCACAGATCACCATAAGGAGGTAGTGTTCTTGGACTTCAACCACTTTTACGGGATGCAGAAATATCACCATGAAAAACTAGTCCAGATGCTGAAAGACATCTATGGAAATAAAATGTGCCCAGCGATTTTTGCCCAAGAAGTTAGTTTAAAGTACCTGTGGGAGAAGGACTATCAAGTGCTGGTCTTCTACCATAGTCCAGTGGCTCTGGAAGTGCCCTTTCTGTGGCCTGGGCAGATGATGCCAGCACCCTGGGCCAACACCACAGACCCGGAGAAATTGATCCAGTTTCTTCAAGCATCCATCACTGAGAGAAGAAAGAAGGGCTCGTTTTTTATATCTCAGGTGGTGCTGACCCCCAAAGCTAGCACTGTGGTCAAAGGGGTGGCAAGTGGCCTCAGAGAAACAATCACAGAAAGGTAAGTGTCTTTAAAATGTTAGGGGGGAAACCTCAAATAATTTAACTTGAATTCATAGAGGTCGTAATTGAAGAAGCTAAAATTTACACCTATGTATATTAGCTCCCCAGGGCTACAATAACAAAGTAACACAAATGGGGTATCTTAAAACAACCAAACTGTATTATCTTACAGTTCTGAAGGCTAGAAGTCTAAAATCAGAGTGTCAGCAGAGTCAGTTCCTTCTGAGGACTCTAAGAGATAATCTGTTCCATGCCCCTCTCCTAGGTTCTGGTGGTGGCTGGCAAACCTGAGTGTTACTCGGCTTACACATGCATCACTCCAGTCTCTGCCTCCTTTTTCACATGCCATTTTCTCATGTGTCTCTGTCTTTTCCTTTGCTTATAAGGGTACCAGTCGTATTGAACTAATGACCTCATATTACTTACTTCTGCAAGGAACCAATTTCCAAATAAGGTCACACTCACAAGTAGCAGGGGCTAGGGCTTTAACATATCTTTTTCTAGACCACAGATCAACCCATAACACCATATATTTTGACTCCATGTCTAGTTGTCTTTTCATAGCACTTTTTTCCACATTTGTGTAGTGCTTTATAGGTTACAAGGCCCCTTCTCTACCATTTGCCGTCTTCTAATATCCCTGATTCCATCTGATCTGCATAACAACCCTGAGAAGTAGATATTGTCTTACAGATTTAAAAAAAATGAGGTTCATAAAAGTGATATATTTTTTCCTAAGACCCCTTCAACAGTGAATTATAACGCAGATCCTCAAGCTCTATTCTCAAACTATATCCTATGCCGTTTATACTGCCTATGCTGCCTTATAAGGAATGCTTATCCCTGAGAAACTGGTCACTTCATTGGTCAAGCACAGCCAAACATGTAGAATGTTCATTACCTGTGAGGTATGATTTGAGCAATTGCAGCTTTTTCCTATGAGTGTGACACAACATTCTGAATAATACATATTATTTATCAAGTTACAATTTTAAACAATGCAAATATCTGAAGAAAGAACACAAATCCTTATAAGATCTCTTTTTATCTTTAATTGACATTTTGAATTATGCTAGAGACAGAGCATGAATGTTTTGCTAGGACTCAAGGTCTTTTCGGAAAAGACAAAAGATGAAGAGAAATAATTTGGTGATGAAAATAGTATGGGTGACCTTGTGGCATAGCATGTAGGGTGGGAAATGAATGGAGATGAAGCTTAGAGTAGCACAAGAACACATTTTCCAGAAATCTTTTAACCAGGCTACAAATAACCTCATCCTGTGAGCAATGGGGAGCTAGATAATAATGTCTAAAAGTAGCATGATTTGACAAGATCTGTGTTTTATGTAATAATTGATGCAGCCTGGAGGATCGATGGAATGGAGAGAGAAAGCAATTAATAGGTGCTTAGAACTGTTTCAGCAAGATGATGCAAGCTAAACTGAGGAAGTGAAAAAATACGGAAGGGGATAATATGGAAGCAGTGGAAATTAAAATGATTTGGTGACTAGTTCACTGTGTGGTACTAATGGGAGACAAGAGTTACAGATAAATGGGATAGGTAATGGAAACATTCACAGAGTCAGTAAACAAAGGCACAGGGACTTGGGAGGAAGTGAGGAAGGTACCATCAGGATCATGCTGAATTTAAAGCATTGGTAAGGCATTCAAGTAGATATGGCTAATTGATCATTAGAAATATAGGCCAACTCGTTTGGGGATTGTTGGCATTTCTTGGTGGTGAAAACTCCAAGTCATTGGAGTGGAAATGTTCCTCCATATAAAATCATAACTTTCTTCTGTTATTCAAAATGGTCCATTAGCCAGGACTGCTCTGTTCCTTAAAATTTAAATAACATTACCAACCATTCACTGTGTACTCTGTGAAAGCATATGGCTTTCTCTATGATTTCTGCTAATGTCTACATTTCTTAGGAGCTCTTGCTACTGCTGGATTACATCATTTATAGCTCAACTGTCCCTCATAGTCTGTCCATGTCCCATTCTGAGACATGAAACTTGCTTCGTGCTCATTTCCACAATGGCTTTTAAATTTTACTGAATATCTGAAGAGGCCAGGAATGTTTTATAATCACAATATTGTATATAATTTAAAATCGAATTTTAGACTTGTCTTTAATTACAAATCTTCTGTCATGGGATAACAACCCCTGACAACTTCTAGAACACTGTATACCTCAGCCTCATATCCTTTGACTGAATCTTCTCCTTCTTTATCATTTTTCACCCCTTTTCTTTCTCTACCCTTAGATTGCCTTTGAGACCCTACATTGTGGATGATTACGTAACTAGATTAACATTTCTAGATGATTATGACTAACTAGTCACCTCTCTCCGGCCTCCTAAGCCTAAATTCAGCTAGTTCCAACAAAGTGTTAATTGAAACAAGAGGGCTTTTTGCTTTATAGCACCACTTTCTACAAATATTATTTTTTCTGTTAATTAACAATTTACCCCTTTCTCACAAACTTAGAAAGTGAGGGAGTTGTGTATGTATAACAATGTGCTGTTTCTAACTGTATCCCATAGAGTCCCCAGATTTTGAAGAATCTCAGGAGCCTGGGAAGGAACTTACTCCAACTCCCTCCATTCTCTCCATACCTTGAATGAAAGAAACTTCATTTTTAAACTTTTACATTTGGGCATGATGCAAGTCTTCCTATGACCTCTTCTAGCTTCCAGCATAGTTCTATGCTTAGGAAAACACTCATATTAAATGCTTGCTTTGCATTTTAGCCAAGAACTGTACCCCATTTTACCTGTTTAGAGATCATCCTTTGAGAAGCCAAAAGAATTTACTCAAAGATAAATCATTTTCATTTTTTTCCTCTTAGGGCATTTGATGTAATTTAGAGGTTTTCAAGTTGTAGTTAAACTGCTTTTTGGTTATTCATGCTCTAGTACACTACTACTGAAGTAGGATTTGTGGGGGGAAAAGTCAGTCGGGAAGGTGCTGAACATTATATTCTACACAACTCTCCCAATAGAGTCACAGTATAAATTAGCATATAAAGAAGGCACTAAGGAATATTTTAGTGATGCATCCTATTTAAATTTAACTAATACAATGTATTCCAAGCACTTAAATTTTGTTCAGATAACACTTATTAACAGCACATGGAATTAATTTTTAAAAGCCACTCTCAGTCCTTTAATTCAGAACTTCTCACTTGCCTCTGGCTTATACATCTGGAATAGTAGAGCTGTATCATAGAAAAGAAGAAGGAGAAGAAAATGGGACGTTAAAAGTAGAAATGAAGACTCCGTATATAGAACCAACTTTTTCCTCTATAGGATTCTGCAAATTACGTGTAAATAATTTGCAAATATATCTGAACCTTGTCATTATAGTTGTGCTGACATTCTCTAGCAGAGTTTAGTCTCAGAAGTACTAGAAAGGCTTTCTTTTTAACCACCTGCAAAGCTGTATTCTGAATGTTATATTAATGTGACATTCAGTTTTTCGTTTCAGTTTGGTTTGGTTATTGGACATACTCCAGCCTTCTGCATGGAGCCTATAGGAAACGCTTATTATCAGCGCTGGGGTGATGCCTTGCAAAGGCAGTTTATTAATACTTATCACTTATTTATCAAAGAGGCAGTGAAGGAGCACTTGACTCCCCAGAACTTGTTGGCTTTCTTCTTTTTAACCAAGTGATAAAGCCTATGAAGGGAAGTGATTCTGGCATTGTCCTCTTTGCTTTTGTGCAAAGCCATTCATTCATAAAGTCCTATGTTGGCACCAAAAGGTATAGTAAATTCTTCTGTGCCATGAGAGGAAAGTTACCGGGAAATTATAGGATCACATCGGGCCTTACTTTCATCTGCAAAATTTGGGGTTTGCGCTTGATTACCTCCAAGATCCATTTCAGTTCTAAAATCCTACAGTCCCAAGATCCTGTATGGACTAGCTAGTTTCTCTACAATTTTTAGAATAATGTCTAATATTTGGGGTAGTAAAACTCTGAGCACATGCATTTAGAAAACAGTGTTTGAAGTTGTGAGTGGCTTTCAGGGAAGCTAAATCCAGCCTGGATTTAGGTACCATAGCTTTCAATCTGGCCAATGGTTCTAAATACTGCAGACTCGTTTTCTACATTTTAGCAATGCCAAAACACACAGACTTTTATTTCTTAAAGATCTATTTTTAATTCTTTTTCAAACACCAGCTTTTGCACCTCACCCCCACACAACTCGCACATTCTTAAAAAGAAGGTGTGCAACTTGAGTAAAGTCCTTTCCTAATTTGTGGAAGTTTATCAACTTGTAGGTTTTTTTAATTTAAAAAATGCAGTCATGCTACCTGTCAGAATTTTTTTTTAAGGAGAAATATAACACTCAGTTTAATTTCAAGTTCATACAGAGAATGCATGCCACAGTTTATATTTTATAAACACAACCTATTGTATTATAAATACAAAATAAGAAGATAGTAATGTTAGCTATTATGAAGAGTGAAAACATATGAACTACAAAAGGCTACTTTCTGCATCTGCATCAATGCAATTTCAAGATTCTCTACCAATTTCATTTATAGAAATAATCTCTGTGATCAAATTATTGTTCATTTTCATGCCCCCACATGGGAACCTGTTAGAATTTTTAAGCAGCAACGCGTTTTTGCAAATAAAGTGATGCTGAGTTAAATTAGAAAATATTTGTACAGGCCAACAATTTAGATAATGATTAATATAATAATAACAGTTATAGTTATTAAGGGCTATTTTAAGGATTCCCAATCTGTTAGATCCTTAACTGTTTTATATACACGATTAGGTTCAATATTTATAAAACCTCTAAGTGTAGGTTCTATTGCCATCCTATCTTAATAATGAAGGGACTCAGCCTTAGAAGTGTTAAACAACTTCGCTGGATAACACAGTTAAGAAAAGGTGCATTCAGGATTTAAATCCAGGCTGCTTCCTCTGTTCATTTATTCACAAAAGCAAACATTTAAATACCTAATCTGTTCTAGAC